GCCGTCGCCGTTCCCCCGGACCTGTCATCCCGGCAGTACCTCGTCTCCGGCTCTGTCCAGCAGTACCCCGGTGATGCTGGCGCCGGGAATTCCCGTTCCTCAGTACATCTCCAGCATGCATCCCGAGCAATCTGTTATCATGCCCCCTCACAGCGTAACACAGACTGTGTCCCTGGGCCATCTGTCCCAGGGTGAGGTGAGGATGAACACCCCTCCTCTCTCCGGCATCCCGTACGGAATCCGCCCAGAAGCGCTCCACTCGCCCCGTGCTGCTCTGCAGCCCCAGATGGAGATCAAACCTCAGCGATCCAGCACGCCCCAGCCAGCCCCCATCCGGGACATTGTCATGCCTCCGCTGTCCTCCCAGCACCCCCCCGAGGAGGAGCTGCACTTCCACCACTCGGCCGTGTGCCGGGGCCCGGCGCCGGTGCAGTCGGACGTGCTGGTGATGCAGCCGGATTACCGCATGCACCCCACCAGCATCCGGCTGGACCAGTACAACGTGCCCCGGGACGTCAGGATGATCATGCACCCGCACATGGCTGCCGTGGGCGAGCACCACTCGGAAACGCGGCAGTCCCGGACGCCCGAAGGGGCCGGGAAAACTCCCCCCGTCAGTAAGACCCCGCAGCCCGGGAAAGAGACTCCCAAATCCTCCGAAGGCAAGGTGGCCCACTCTCCTCACAGCGAGCCCCGGCTCCTGAGCGTGCCCTCGGGCACCCAACTGCCTGGGCTGCCCCTGACGCAGCCGGTGGTGGTCCCACATGGAGTGCAGATCATGCATCCCGCCGGCAGCTCCTTCCACGACTACCGCTCCGTGTACGGCGACATGAGGAATTACCACACGGCGGCACAGCTCGGGCACCCGCAGTTCCCCGGCGCCTCGCCCATCGGGCTGCCCTCCCGCAGCATGACCCCCTCTCAGGTGAGAAATAAAACCTCTCTCTGGAGTCTGGAGCTCGACTCTCCTTGGAATCTGGAGCATTCTGAGCTAACTGTGGCTGTGACACAGCTCTGTGTGGTCATAAGAGCTGGGCTTAGCTCTCCGTGGTTAGTCTTCAGGCCCTGCTTAAGTTCACAGTACAAGAGGAACTGGGTTTTTTGGGAAATGGGGTTCAAACGCTGCTCAGCATCAGAGGAAGCTGAGACATCCCTTCCTTAACTACTCTGAGTCTCAAAGCAGGAGGTGGGAAGCTGCCCGAGGGTTTCTGGACGTAGAGCTGTCATGAGAATTGTCAGCACCAAGGTGCTGCATAGGTCAGGCATCCTCAGGTGGATGGTGAGGCTAAGGATGGGCTTGGAGCAGAATTCAGGAGGTGGGATTTCAGCTCAGGTGGACTTGGAAGTGGGGGACAGGCCCAGGTACCACCACAGCAGGGCTGGGGTGTGGAGACACATCTCCACCTAGAATGTGATGATGTCCTGGCAGCCTTATTGTTAAATTAATGAGATCTGATACACCCACAGCCTAAAAACTTCCCTTTTTCCCCCCTCCTGCTTCCCAGGGTCTGCCGGAGGGCGAGCACTCGCACCCCAGCCAGCCAGTCCGCAGCAAGACTCCTCAGATCCCCCAGGATCCCAAGGGCCCTCCGGCAGCGGGGCCGGAGCAGAGTCACCACCCTGCCGTGAACAGACACGCGGCACAGATGGACCCTCACGTCCACCTCCAGAGGGCCCAGGGGGACACGGGCCAGACCTCCTACCCCTCACCTGTCGCCGTCTCCATGAAACAGGAGCTTCCGTCGCCGCACCAGCCCCAGGCGGTTCCCAAGCAATCCATGTTTATCCCCACGACGTCGGGGCCTCCCCTGAGCCGCCCGGAGCCCCAGGCCGGGCTCAAACAGGAGCCGTCGCCTCACCCCGTGTCGCAGAGACCTGTGGACATGGTCCAGCTCCTCACAGTGAGTGTCCGTCCGTCGCCTCCTCCCGGCCGAGCAGCCTCGTGCGGCTCGTCCAGGGAGGAATCACGAGGTTCTGTCTCACCTGTGGCACCAAACCTGACCTGTCTTGTATCAAATGCTTCATCTGTCTGGTTTTTGGGCTGTTCTGTCCCCACTGGTTTTTACCCGTGTCACTGTTCCCAGTCAGTTTTACAGTCAACTGTTTCCTGGAAAGGTTTTCCTCATGGGCAGGGAAGAGTGATGGTGTATTTAATTTCACTGAAAAAGGAAAAAACATTCTTCCAAGCCTAGAAAATGAGGAAGAGGAGGGAGACAGGAACAGGCACTGATGAGGAACCAAGAGTTGTGTCCAGCACCAAATACCTCCCATATAACCTCAAGCTACTCTTCTGTTATTTCTCAATTTTTCCATTTGTAAAAGAGAAAAGAGCATTTGGCAACAGCCTCGTGCTGAGTGGGAGACAGGGATTGTGATGACGGGATCCACCCAGGCAGCTTGGCCAGCTGGAAGGAAAGGGACTGAATTCCTGGTTTAGCAGGATTTAAACCAAGGCTGACGGGTAGAGGAACGATCAGGTGTTACATAAAGCTCCGATGGAAGTATCGGAGGCAGCTGAGCAGCTCAGACGGGATTTCGGATCCTCCTCTCCATCCTTTGTGTGTAATACTCCTTCTCCCTCTCTTCCCAGAAATACCCCATTGTCTGGCAGGGCCTCTTGGCCCTCAAGAACGACACGGCCGCTGTCCAGCTCCACTTTGTGTCCGGGAACAACGTCCTGGCTCACCGGTCGCTGCCGGCGCCCGAGGGGGGGCCCCCGCTGCGGATCGCGCAGCGCATGCGGCTCGAGGCCTCCCAGCTCGAGGGGGTCGCACGGAGGATGATGGTGAGGGCAGGGGTGGGGCAGGCAGGTGTGCTTGGGAAGAGCTGAGAACTGGGCGGGTCTCACCAGCTGCAGGACTGAAAACCACAAAGTTCAGCTGCTGTCACGTTGTTTTCTCCGCTCAGGGGGTGGTTGGCACTGACCAGGCTCCTCAGGGCAGTGTCACGGCCCCAAGGCTGCCAGAGCTCCAGGAGGGTTTGGACAACAGTCTGAGGGACGGTGGGGGATTGTTGGGGTGTCTGTGCTGGGCCAGGAGTTGGATCCATGATCCCTGGGGGTCCCTTCCAGCTCAGGATATGCTGTGATTCTATTTTGGGATTCTGGTAATAGTACTGGGATTCCTTCATCCCAGAGCGTGTGTAACATGGATTACAAGTGGTGAGCAATAGCTCTTACTCTGCATTTATGGAAAAAGGAATGGTGGAGTTGGGAAACCTTTGAAGTCACTCATCCCTCAGCCCTGGGACAAATTCCTGCTGGCTCCAACGTGTCTGAGAAAGGTGGAACGTGGAGTTCGGGTGGCCATGGAAATGTGTTTTCAGTCCTTTTCACCATCTCCTGGTGTGTTGAAATCACAGAACCCCAGAATGGTTTGGGTTGGAGAGACCTTAAAGCTCATCCCGTTCCACCCTTGCTGTGGGCAGGGACACCTCCCACTGTCCCAGATTGCTCCAAGCCCCGTCCAACCTGGCCTTGGACACTTCCAGGGATGGGGCAGCCACAGCTTCTCTGGGGAACAAATTGTAACATCAGGGACTTCAAAGGCAGGATTTTCCCCCCAGATGGGGGGGGTATGGCAGGAAGACACGTGTCCATCCACCATCTAACCCAGCCCGTGTCCTCCCTGGCAGGTGGAGAGCGATTACTGCCTGCTGCTGGCCCTGCCCTGCGGCCGCGACCAGGAGGACGTGGTCAGTCAGACCGAGTCACTCAAGGCTGCCTTCATCAGTTACCTGCAGGCCAAACAGGCTGCAGGGATCATCAACGTCCCCAACCCCGGCTCCAACCAGGTACCGGCACAGAAACCCCTGGAACACCAGGGATTAACCGACCAGTCCACAGCAGGACGTCTGTCCGTCCGTCTGTCCTTCCCCCCCCTCCAGCTTCGGTTGGGGTTCTGCTCGAGCTGCCTGTTGGTAGCAGTGAACCCCTCCCCGTTTGCATCCCCAGTCAAACACATGGATGGAACTGATAAAATCACTGAAAACCAACCCCGAAGCCACAAAAAAACCCCAAATGTATGTTTGGTTGGTTCCCGGCCGAGCACCTTGGGATGAAAACCATTGGTTTGTTCCCAGCCCAACATCTTGGGATGAAAACCAGCCAAACCCCTTTTCTACCTCTTCAACTCTGAAGTAGAGTCCTTATTTCTTCCCCACATCCTGATTTTTCCAGGACACCTGCTGTTTTCTTGGGAAACACATTTGGGTTTGTTGCTCTGGAGTGTTTATTCCCGGTGTGTTGCTGCCCCAAATCAAATTTAAGCTGTGTGTGTAATTTAATTCTGGGTGTAAAGAACCCAGAATGAGCTGTCAGCGCTCAGAGCAACCACTGAAATAACTAATTATTTGGAATTTTTCTCCCTTTCCCAATAAAACCAACCAGCTCTCACATCTTACATGTGGAAAACTCCCCACCTGGGAAACCACACTTGTCTTTTGTTTTATACAAAATCGAGGAGCCTTTAAACACCAAAAAAAAATCACCTGAATGTCCCGGTTTTAAACATTTCAGGCCTGGCTTTAGGACTGGCTCTAATCTGTGGTTTTTTCCCCTCCCCTCAGCCTGCCTACGTTCTGCAGATCTTCCCACCCTGCGAATTTTCGGAAAGCCACCTGTCCCGCCTCGCCCCGGACCTCCTCGCCAGCATCTCCAACATCTCTCCTCACCTCATGATTGTCATCGCGTCGGTATGAGCTGTTTACCAGTTACTGACTTTTTATTATTTTAATTTTTTATTTTTATTTTTATTTTTTAATTTTTATCCAAGGCCCTGCAGCAAAAAAAAAAAAAAAATTACCAAAAAGAAAAAAAAAAAAACAAACAGCCCACAACAACAACAAAAAAAATTTAATTTTCAAATCAAAACTAAATCAAAAGAAGGAGAGAGAAGGTTATGAAACAAGAAAAATGCTGCCAGAAACCAGCCTCCTGCCCGACCGGCCTCGATCAAACCGTATGTTTACATGTTGCTTTAGCTTATGGACAACTGATGCACTCAGCAGGTGGACTGGGCTTGGGTTCCTGTGCCTCCTTTTTGGGGAAAAAATACAAAAAAACCCACGAAAAAAACCACAAAAAAAAAAAAGAAAAAAAANTTCCAGGGATGGGGCAGCCACAGCTTCTCTGGGGAACAAATTGTAACATCAGGGACTTCAAAGGCAGGATTTTCCCCCCAGATGGGGGGGGTATGGCAGGAAGACACGTGTCCATCCACCATCTAACCCAGCCCGTGTCCTCCCTGGCAGGTGGAGAGCGATTACTGCCTGCTGCTGGCCCTGCCCTGCGGCCGCGACCAGGAGGACGTGGTCAGTCAGACCGAGTCACTCAAGGCTGCCTTCATCAGTTACCTGCAGGCCAAACAGGCTGCAGGGATCATCAACGTCCCCAACCCCGGCTCCAACCAGGTACCGGCACAGAAACCCCTGGAACACCAGGGATTAACCGACCAGTCCACAGCAGGATGTCTGTCCGTCCGTCTGTCCTTCCCCCCCCTCCAGCTTCGGTTGGGGTTCTGCTCGAGCTGCCTGTTGGTAGCAGTGAACCCCTCCCCGTTTGCATCCCCAGTCAAACACATGGATGGAACTGATAAAATCACTGAAAACCAACCCCGAAGCCACAAAAAAACCCCAAATGTATGTTTGGTTGGTTCCCGGCCGAGCACCTTGGGATGAAAACCATTGGTTTGTTCCCAGCCCAACATCTTGGGATGAAAACCAGCCAAACCCCTTTTCTACCTCTTCAACTCTGAAGTAGAGTCCTTATTTCTTCCCCACATCCTGATTTTTCCAGGACACCTGCTGTTTTCTTGGGAAACACATTTGGGTTTGTTGCTCTGGAGTGTTTATTCCCGGTGTGTTGCTGCCCCAAATCAAATTTAAGCTGTGTGTGTAATTTAATTCTGGGTGTAAAGAACCCAGAATGAGCTGTCAGCGCTCAGAGCAACCACTGAAATAACTAATTATTTGGAATTTTTCTCCCTTTCCCAATAAAACCAACCAGCTCTCACATCTTACATGTGGAAAACTCCCCACCTGGGAAACCACACTTGTCTTTTGTTTTATACAAAATCGAGGAGCCTTTAAACACCAAAAAAAAATCACCTGAATGTCCCGGTTTTAAACATTTCAGGCCTGGCTTTAGGACTGGCTCTAATCTGTGGTTTTTTCCCCTCCCCTCAGCCTGCCTACGTTCTGCAGATCTTCCCACCCTGCGAATTTTCGGAAAGCCACCTGTCCCGCCTCGCCCCGGACCTCCTCGCCAGCATCTCCAACATCTCTCCTCACCTCATGATTGTCATCGCGTCGGTATGAGCTGTTTACCAGTTACTGACTTTTTATTATTTTAATTTTTTATTTTTATTTTTATTTTTTAATTTTTATCCAAGGCCCTGCAGCAAAAAAAAAAAAAAAATTACCAAAAAGAAAAAAAAAAAAACAAACAGCCCACAACAACAACAAAAAAAATTTAATTTTCAAATCAAAACTAAATCAAAAGAAGGAGAGAGAAGGTTATGAAACAAGAAAAATGCTGCCAGAAACCAGCCTCCTGCCCGACCGGCCTCGATCAAACCGTATGTTTACATGTTGCTTTAGCTTATGGACAACTGATGCACTCAGCAGGTGGACTGGGCTTGGGTTCCTGTGCCTCCTTTTTGGGGAAAAAATACAAAAAAACCCACGAAAAAAACCACAAAAAAAAAAAAGAAAAAAAAATCAAATCCCCACAACATACATTTTTTTTTAATCTGTGCCAAAAATGTGTTTTCAGAGAAAAAAAATCTTATTTTCATACTCAGACTTTGTATTGTCACTCATTTGTAAGTGCGCTTCATTTAAACATCCCCTCGTCTCATCAGCTGTGGAAGTGTTATACACTTGTACAAAGACTCTGCCCGGCCCCCCTCGCCTCCCCTAACACTTAATTAATTTATGGAACTTGGTTTCTTGTTTTTTTTTGTTTTGTTTTGTTTTTTTTTTTGGTTTATTTTGGTTCTTTTTTTTTTCTCAGCGCAGTTTTGTTTTGTGTGTCCATTGGATTACGAACTTTATTAAAAAATACAAAACACGTCGGCGCCACGACCTCGTCCCTCGGCTGCCTGGGAGGGGGGAGAGGGCAAAAGGGAGGTTTGGGGGCTCCCCAGGAGGGGCCACTTCATTTCTTCTTCAAAAAGCACCAGAAAAAAAAGTGGTAATTTTACTGGACTAGGCCAGATTTCTCTTCATTATCATCCGTGTCATGGATAACTGAAAATCAGAATTGCAGGATTTTACCCCACTTTTAATCTCACTACTAATTCCTTACTGAAAATTATCCCTGAATTATTGATATACATCAGCCTTTCAAAACTGAGTCAATCTGGATGTTCTTCACTCCTTTCCCACCCAAAATCCTGCCAAACCCTTCCCACCTGAAGCAGCACCGGTGGGAGCCACCAAACCCCCCAGTTAATTAATGCTGGTGCAGATGGGTTAAAATCAAGCAGATATGGTAAAAAAGGAGATTCAGGAGAGGATTTGGGGGGTGGGCCCCAAAGCCAGGGAAGATCCTCACCCTGCACCTGCAGGCCCATGGCAGGGGGTGGGAGGCAGAACAGAGCCTGTTTTGGGGTAAAAACAGCACAAAAAGGTGCTGCTGGTGCCCCAGGATGGAGGTGGGTGTTGGAGCCCGGCCGGGGACACCTCAGGGAGCCCCCCAGGTACTGCTGGGGGGGGTCAGGATGGGACCTCGGACCTCCTGCCTTGCCCCAGAGAGGTGGGATTGTGGTGGGATGGACAGATGGACGCACGGACACAAGGATGGGGCGTGGAGAGATGGACGTGGATTATTGGGGCGGGGGAAAGGACCCGAGCCTGCTGGTGTTGGAGTGGGGCCTTTGGGGCAAAAAGGGCATTTTTGGGTGCTTTTCCAGAGGTGTGGGGGGCACCAGTCCGTGTGTCTGGGTGTTCCTGCAGTGTCCGTCTGTCCAGGTGGGCCTGGACTGGCCATCGAGCTGGGCCCATACCCCTCCTCACCCAAAGCACCGGGACACGGATGGATGGGTGGGTGGATGGAAGGATGGACGGATGGGTGAGTGGATGGATGGATGGATGGATGGGTGGGTGGATGGATGGATGGATGGAAGGATAGATGGGTGGGTGGATGGAAGGATGGACGGATGGGTGGGCGGGTGGATGAATGGATGGATGGAAGGATGGATGGATGGAAGGATGGATGGGTGGATGGGTGGACAGCCATGAGGACGTGGATGGATGCACAGACAGACACATGGACAGTTGCATGTGGAACTGGACAGACAATTGTGTGTTCCATGGGAAAGATGGGTGGGTGCAGGTCCAGCTGGAGACACGAATGGGGCACATCCAGATGGAGGGATGGAGGGATGTCCATGGGGGGGGGTATCTGTTTGTCTGTCCAGCTGGATGTACAAGTGTCTATCCTTTGTTCTGACTGCATGCACAGATGTCTGTCCGTCCAGCTGGATATGTGACTGTCCCTGTGTCCAGGTGCCGGACTCATGAACACTCCCACGTCCAGCTGGACACACAGATGGCTGCATGTCCAGACAGATGGAGACATGGACGGACAGATGGACACATGGACGGACAGGCGGACACATGGACGGACAGACGGACACGTGGACAGTCCACCTGGATGTACAGACACTGTCTTGGTGGTGCCGACACACAGACAGTTGTACGTCCAGCTGGATACACGGACAGGTGTCTGTCCACTGGTCACATGGACAGTCAGACGATGGGTGTGTGAGTGGATGCACGGACAGATGGACAGACAGCCGGACACACAGACAGTGCCTGTCCAGCCAGGGGAACGGATGGCTGCACGGACAGATGGACACACGGACAGCTGTTTGTCCAGAGGCACAGGGGGGTACGTGGATGGTCGAACGTGGAACTGGACAGACGGACGGGGTTCAGTTATAAATGGGGATGGTTGTGCTGCAGATGGACAGATGGACAGGTGTACGGACAGTAGAACGGGTGTACATCCAGCCAGACACTCAGACACCTGGATATGCAGCTGGCCAGACAGACAGACACCCACCCAGCCAGACACTCCTCCACCGCTAGGCATAAATGCATCAAAAATGCACTTTCTGCCCCAAAGGCCCCTCTGGAAAATCAGCGATTTCACACCCCCGCCCCACAGCTGTGTCCATCTGTCTGTCTGTCCTCATGGCAGCCCCCAGTCACAGGGCTGGGGGAGGGGGTTTTGGGCCCAATCACGGCTCCAGACACATGGACAGGGCACAGACAGACGGACGCTGGGACAGCGGGACTGTGAGAGGGGCAAGGCAGGGGTGCTGGGTTTTCAGAGGGGCCTTTGGGGCAAAAAGTGCATTTTTGGGGCTTTTGTGGATGCAGAAAGGGAGCGTCCATCTGGGTGGGTGTCTGTCCAGCTGGACGTGCCCTGTCCGTGTGTCTGCATGTCCAACCATCTGTGTGTCCATCTGTCCAACCACCGGTGTGTCTGGCTGGATGTGCAGCCCCTGCTCTGTGCTCCAGTGCCCTGTTGGGATCACAGGGGTGGGATGGACACACGGACAGGAGCAGGCCCAGCTGGACTCATGGACGGCTGCACGTCCAGACAGACAGACCGACACACAGACAGTCCCCCTGGATGTACAGTCGGTGTCAGGGCCACCCCGACACACGGACAGTTGGACTCCCAGCCGGACACATGGACAGCTGTGTGGATGACTGGATGTGTGGACGGACACATGGACAGTTGCACAGACAGTTGGACACGTGTGCATCCACTGGACACTTAGATGTGCAGCTGGACAGACGGACGGACACCCACCCAGCCAGACACTTCCCACCCCCTGGGCAGGGTCAGGCCCTTCCCAGCCCCAGCACTGTCCGTGTGTCTGTCTGTCTGGAGCCAGGATAGCCCTGAGCACCCCCAGCACCCCGGGCTGGGAGATGGACACAGGGACTGACGCAGGGACAGACACATGGACGGGGGTGGGGTGGGGATGCAAAATTGCTGATTTTCCAGAGAGGCCTTTGGGGCAAAAAAAATGCTTTTGGGGCATTTATGTCCATGAGTGGAGGAGTGTCTGGGTGGGTGGGTGTCTGTCTGTCCAACTGTACGTCCAAGTGTCTGTGTGTCCCGCTGTACATGGGACTGTCTGTGTGTCCAGCTGGATGAGCCCCGGGCCATCTGCCTGCATGTCTGTCCATCCATCCATCCATCCATCCATCCGTCCATCCGTCCATCCAGGGCCACCCTCCTTGTTCCCAGCTGAACATGTCCCTGTCCACAGACTCGTCCGTGTGTCCGGCTGGACGTGTCCAGCCTGTCCCTGGATACTCCAACCCCCACAGGGCCCCAGACTGAGGAAGGGGGATGAGACAGACGGACACACAGGTGGTTGTAGGGGTGGGCACACGGATGGACATGTGTCCAGGTGTCCAGCTGGATGTGGAACTGTGTGCCCAGCAGTGTCCATGTCACTATCCAACCCTCCACCCACCCACCCATGGAGCTGTCTGTGTGTCCAGCTGGACCTACAGCCACCTGTGTGTGTCCATCTGTCTGTCCACTCACCCCCACTCCCGGCTGGACACACCCCTGTCCCTCAGCCCCCCTGTGGAGCTGGGGGGGCCCAGGGAGCAGAGCAGGGGGTGCCCGTCCAGCTGGACACATTCCAGGGTTCCTGCCCCTTCCCCCCCAGAGGCCCCTCCCTCAGCCCAGCCCCCCGTGGGGGGGAGGGGCAGCCCCCAGACCCAGGTGGGTGACAGTGACAGGGACAGACATGGATGGACACACAGCCCCCTGCCCCATTCCCAGCTGCGAGGCCAGGAGGTCCTTGTGGGGTGTCCGTGCTCGAGCCCCCAGAGTCCTGGGGGGGCAGGACAGTCTCCCTTCCCACTTCCATCCCACAGCATGTTTCTGTCCATTTTTTACCCCAAAACAAGCTCTCCCCTGTCCCTCCCCTCCCCCTTCAGTGAGGGGGCAGCAGGCGGAGGGTCGCCCTGGGCTTTACCCCAAAATCACCATTTGCAAACCTTCGACCACCTTGGTTTTTTTCCATTATCATCTCATTTATCCCCATTTCCATGAACCGCCCTCGTTAGTGATGAACTGGATTCAGTCCCCCCGCGGGCTCCAGCTCTGCGAGACCCCCACAACACCACCCGGGAGGGGTCGTCCCTCCCCGACCATCAGCGTTAGAAAATATTGCCATTTATTCCATCTCTTTCCTGCCAGAAATACACTTTGTACACCGGTGCCGAGCTGTCT